CTCAGTGCTTCAGAATTGATTCCTTGAGGACCTGCTCCATGATTTTTCCAGGGACTGTGGTGAGGCTGACTGGCCTGTAGTTTCCCGGATCTTCCTTCTTCCCTTTTTTAAAGATGGGCACTACATTAGCCTCTTTCCAGTCATCCGGGACCTTCCCCGATCGCCATGAGTTTTCAAAGACAATGGCCAATGGCTCTGCAATCATATCCGCCAACTCCTTTAGCACCCTCGGATGCAGCGCATCCGGCCCCACGGACTTGTGCTCGTCCAGTTTTTCTAAGTAGTCCCGAACCACTTCTTTCTCCACAGAGGGCTGGTCACTTTCTCCCCATGCTGTGCTGCCGAGTGCAGCAGTCTGGGAGCTGACCTTGTTCGTGAAGACAGAGGCAAAAAAATCATTGAGTGCATTAACTTTTTCCACATCCTCTGTCACTAGGTTGCCTCTCTCATTCAGTAAGGGGCCCACACTTTCCTTGACTTTCTTCTTGTTGCTAACATACCTGAAGAAACCCTTCTTGTTACTCTTAACATCTCTTGCTAGCTGCAATTCCAAATGTGATTTGGCCTTCCTGATTTCACTCCTGCAAGCCTGAGCAATATTTTTATACTCCTCCCTGGTCATTTGTCCAATCTTCCACTTCTTGTAAGCTTCTTTTTTTGCTTTCAAGATCAGCAAGGATTTCACTGTTTAGCCAAGCTGGTCGCCTGCCATATTTACTATTCTTTCTACACATCGGGATGGTTTTTTCCTGCAACCTCAATAAGGATTCTTTAAAATACAGCCAGCTCTCCTGGACTCCTTTCCCCCTCATGTTATTCTCCCAGGGGATCCTGCCCATCTGTTCCCTGAGGGAGTCAAAGTCTGGTTTTCTGAAGTCCAGGGTCCGTATTCTGCTGCTCTCCTTTCTTCCTTGTGTCAGGATCCTGAACTCGACCATCTCATGGTCACTGCCTCCCAGGTTCCCATCCACTTTTGCTTCCCCTACTAATTCTTCCCAGTTTGTGAGCAGTAGGTCTAGAAGAGCTCTGCCCCTAGTTGGTTCCTCCAGCACTTGCACCAGAAAATTGTCCCCTACACTTTCCAAAAACTTCCTGGATTGTCTGTGCACCGCTGTATTGCTCTCCCAGCAGATATCAGGGTGATTAAAGTCTACCATGAGAACCAGGGCCTGCGATCTAGTAACTTCTGCTAGTTGTCGGAAGAAAGCCTCGTCCACCTCATCCCCCTGGTCTGGTGGTCTATAGCAGACTCCCACCACGACATCACCCTTGTTGCTCACACTTCTAAACTTTATCCAGAGACTCTCAGGTTTTTCTGCAGTTTCATACCGGAGCTTTGAGCAGTCACACTCCTCCCTTACATACAATGCAACTCCCCCACTTTTCTTCCCTGCCTGTCCTTCCTGAACAGTTTATATCCATCCATGACGGTACTCCAGTCATGTGAGTTATCCCACCAAGTCTCTGTTATTCCAATGACATCATAGTTCCTTGACTGTGTGAGGACTTCCAGTTCTCCCTGCTTGTTTCCCAGGCTTCTTGCATTTGTGTATAGGCACTTAAGATAACTCGCTGATTGTCCCGCTTTCTCAGTCTGAGACAGGAGTCCTCCCTTCTTGCACTCTCCTGCTCGTGCTTCCTCCCAGTATCCCATTTCCCCACTTACTTCAGGGCTTTGGTCTCCTTCCCCCGGTGAACCTAGTTTAAAGCCCTCCTCACTCGGTTAGCCAGCCTGCTTGCGAAGATGCTCTTCCCTCTCTTCGTTAGGTGGAGCTCGTCTCTGCCTAGCACTCCTCCTCCTTGGAACACCATCCCATGGTCAAAGAATCCAAAGCCTTCTCTCCGACACCACCTGCGTAGCCATTTATTGACTTCCACAATTCGACGGTCTCTACCCAAGCCTTTTCCCTGCACAGGGAGGATGGACAAGAACACCACTTGCACCTCAAACTCCTTTACCCTTCTTCCCAGAGTCACGTAGTCTGCAGTGATCCGCTCAAGGTCATTCTTGGCAGTATCATTGGTGCCCACGTGGAGAAGCAGGAAGGGGTAGCGATCCGAGGGCTTGATGAGTCTCGGCAGTCTCTCCATCACATCGTGAATCCTAGCTCCTGGCAAGCAGCAGACCTCTCGGTTTTCTCGGTCAGGGCGGCAGATAGATGACTCAGTCCCCCTGAGGAGGGAGTCCCCAACCACCACCACCCTCCTCCTTCTCTTGGAAGCAGTGGTCCTGGAACCCCCATCCCTAGGACAGTGCATCTCATGCCTTCCAATCGGTGGAGTCTCCTTCTGCTCCCTTCCCTCAGATGTATCATCTACTCCACTCTCCACATTAGTACCTGTGGAGAGAACATGAAAATGGTTGCTCACCTGTATCTCCATTGCTGGTACATGGACACTCCTCTTTCTTCTTTTGGAGGTCACATGCTGCCAATTTTCTTCACCGTCCCTCAGTCCCCTCTGCGCAACCTGCTCCGATTCTTCAGAACATTGTGCCTGTAGAAGCATATCTTGACGTCTGTCCAGGAAATCTTCATTTTCTCTTATGCAACGCAGGGTCGATACTTGTTTCTCCAGACCTCGAACCTTCTCTTCCAATATGGAGACCAGCTTGTACTTTCTACAGACAAAGTCACTTCTGTCCCGTGGAAGAAAGACAAACATGGCACAACCTGTGCAGGTTACAACAACTCAGTTGATCCTGCTTTGAGCAGGGGGTTGGACTAGATGATCTCCTGAGGTCTCTGAGGAATCTTCTCTGATTCTAAACTTTGAGACAGGTTAGCTGAACTGTTCCTTCTAAGCACAACGTGTCTTGCAAGTCACAGCGACAGTAGTGGTCTCTGAGGTACCTGGCATCTAAATCATTTAGGGTTTCTTAAATGGTAGCCAGCACTTTGAATTTCACCCTGACAATAGCCAGGTATAAGAGGATCTGATCAGTTTAAAAGGCTTTTTGCACTACTATAGCTAATGCTTCTAAATGGCCTTTAAGTTTATACCCTAATAGACAAAATTGCAATAGTTTAACATTGATTAAAAAAGCAAACATATTTGAAGATTGGACTCAAGCATCTTATTTTTAATTTCTCTCTATCCCTTTTCTCTCCATGCCCAAACAAAATATCTTCATGCAGCCCCCACACATTAATAGAGCTAGTTTTAGATGCGGAAATCATGTTATTGGTCACACCCACATTGTTCGTTCCTCAAGATACTGTATGAACTTTCATAAATATGTGCATGTGCCACACACTCCCCCAACACTGTGCTGATACGTACAAGCCATTACCCTTGCTATGAACTGAACCTTAAGCCTAGCTGAGTGAAATGTGTGTCTGTAAAGGCAGCCTATTTACCTGCAAATTAACTTTCTCATCATTCCAGTGGATACCACAAAGATATTGTACACTTTTCTCTTAACAAATGCATTGCAAAAGGCAGGTAATATGCAGCAGTATGGTGATCTTTACTTACCATGCTTTATAACATGTTTTATAATGCTCTTTAGAGCAGCATCAGACGATAAATGTATGTGGGCCTAATATTTACCACTGAGATATTTGCTACATTAAGAAAAATCTATTAAAATACCCACTGCATTCTTTGAAGGATTTAGCAGTTGCTAGACTGCCAGTCAGCCAAGGGTACACAAGAGTTATTGTCATTTTGATTTTCAGATGAGTCATTTGGTATATTGCCCCCAAAGGCTCTTCATTATGATTCAGTGCACAGCATATAACATTGCTTTGGCTTTCTGGGCTTCATGGAATCCGAGTGGGGGTTGCAGTTGCTCGGCATTCTGAAGCAGCGGCTTTATGTTTAATTGACACCTTTGATGTAGCCCTAAGACAGCACCTGCACCTCCCACTGCTGCTCTGAAGACGTCAGCCTTACGCAGAAAAGGCTTCTGCTTATGAGTCCTGCATCTCATTCAGCTCACTCTGTGAGCAGCCCTAGCTATCCTTAACTAATCCCACTGCTTCCCATCTTTGCTACAGCTTGGCTTAGTACAGGGAAAGAATTTTTGTGCTTGCTATCATCAGGTTAAACACTAAGACTGTGTCCATGTTAGAACTCATAGAAGGTAAGTTAAATGCCTTATTGATACGTTAGTATGTAAATATTCATATAAGATTGAGAATTCAGGTGTCTAGTTGCTGATTCTTTTTTCTGAAACTGACAAATATGATTGTTAATATGCCAGTTGTTTGTTTAAAGCGTGTGTGCATATAATGCATTTCTTTCTATGCTTTAGTAAGCTTTTAAGAACATTATTGGCATCCTCTATGTGATACTCTTCAGGTATTAGGTATTTAATTTTACAGAGCATGTCATATAAAGGCTGAAAATGCTTCTAACATTAAATACATTGAAATATTTTGAAAGAACTTTACTATTTAAGTAAGTGATGATTTGGTATAATGTATACCTGAGATTTTATGGCCAGTTCAGTTGAATGTCTGAAGTCCATCCGAGTTAGTTCTGGGATGATGTTTGGGTCAGATAGTAATGCAAAAATGTCTTCAAACAAGTGGGGGTTTAACAGCAAGCTACAGTGAATTGTTCTTGCAAGCAGTGCTGCTTTTTATTCCTAGTTCGTAGCACTGAGAGGCATAATTAAATGGGATGAAAGGGATTAAATATAGGTAATATTTGTTAAGGCAACAAAGCATTATAGCTTTCCATGATATGCATGCATAGGCACTATACGGTTTAAGAAAATGTAATGAAGTTCATCACCATTGACTTAAACAGTCATTTTAGGTTGGCTGCTTATTTGTTTAAGCACTGTATAAATTGGCAGTGTGAGAGTCACAGTGCTAGAAAAGCAGTTCATTTCTGCACTACCTTATTTAACATTTACAAATCTGAAAAGGGTGAATGTAAGAAAAAGTAGATAGAATTAAGACATGTTTATTAATTATTTTCCTCTGCTTTTACTCTGTAGGTACCATGAGCCGAACATTTATTTCTGTATTTATTTATTGTTCTTCTAGTTAATGGAACCCCTGGTAGCCAGCTTTCTACTCCCCGCTCTGGGAAGTCTCCAAGCCCATCTCCTACCAGCCCAGGAAGCCTGCGAAAACAGAGGGTAAGGAAAGAAGGAACTGATTTTTGAGACTGGCTGAGCAAGGATCTGGCATGGGTGCCACCAAAATTGCCTTCCCCAAAAGTGTTCATTACACCTACCCAGAAGTATGGGGTGGAAGAGGTTGGCTACAATTCTTGTTGTGCCCGTGCAACACTCTTAAACATCTGGAATGCAACTGTTCTCCATCTAGCAGAATATTAAGTGTGCTGGGTAATGGCTTACCTTTAAGAAGAAAAAAAGAGGTCTTTGCTCTTGCTTTCAGAACACTTTTATGTCTTTGTTTTTTTTTTGCCAAGCATTTCACAACTGGAGGAAAAGTTAGACCTCCTAAAAGTTCCATATTTATTTATTGGCACCCCAGCTTTAATTCTAAGGTAAAGTGAAGGAGTGCTCTGTGGAATTTAGCTATATTATCATGACCATATACAATAATTTTTTGTTCGGCCAGCCAAAATGGCTCAGCATCAAGGCAAGAGCGGAATGTATTAGTGCTTTGGAGGCCCAGGATCATCAATAGATTTTCAATTCCTGTACCAAAAGCCTAGGTATATAGTGTACCTAACCATCATCGTATTCCCTTTAGTATGATGGTGGTAGCTGTGTTATTGCTGTAGTATAACCGAACATTTTTGGTTCAACATAGCATTCTCGTGTATGGGAGTGGGCAGGTCAGTGCTGTGCACACTGATTTAATTAATTGGATTCGTCCAAAGAGAATGAAATGGATGTCTATTGATCTTCTCTTCTGACATTTTCTCAACTGTGGTCTGTGGGCCTCAGAGAAATCATCTTTGAGTCACTGCATCATGTCTCAGATTGGCTTGCAAATGCAGTTGGACTCAGGCTTTCTCAGCCTCCTTCAATTTTAAATAAACTATGAGTTAGCTTCCTGTCTCTATGAAGTAGGGAGTTATAAGCAAACCTGACAGTTGTGACTCGAAGCCTCAGTTTAGTCAGGTTTTGGATTATTCGGAACACAGGTAGGTAAGAACATGAGTTGCATTTGGTGTGAGTTGTTCCTGAAGCCCTCTCCTTGGTAGCAGTGTCATCTTGGTCCTTTTGATCTGACTCTCAAGGTTTATTGGATTAATTGTTAGTAGGTCGCTGTGGGTGAGGGAAATGTCATCTGAATTTGCTGGATTTCACAGTGATGATACGGGTCTCTATCGAGGTGGATGGCATCATCAGCAGAAAGTATTTTTTCCTTGGCTCTGAGGCCACCTCTTTTCCTGATACATCTCAGTCTTCTCCCTCCCCATCACTGATGCTGTTTTTGCATCAGGAAGGGCAGAAGACCTTTTCTCTTATTAATGATGTTCATTAGGGGAGGGTTGAAAGGAAGCCATGTGGTCAGCACCTTTCCATGCCAAGTGCATCACCTCTACCTGTTTTTGATTTCCAAATGTGGAGCGTAAGGCACATGGATTCTTCCTATCCAGTACCTCTTCTTGGGAAGAAGATGTTCCAGTTACACAGGGTTTTAAACATTGCGTGGTGGTGGTATGATCAAAATGTTCAGCAAATTGGAAATCTTCTTTTGAAATTCAAGATTAAACTAAAGGAGCAATAACTCTTCTGTAAAAGGGTCAGGCTCTGCCCTCAATAATTGCCAGCAGTCCCACTGATTTCAGTGGGAGATGCATGCGTTCCTGTGGGCAAAATGTGGCCCAAAGCTTTGTCTGTAGGGGAAAAAAGAGAAAAAGGTATGTGAACGTGGGGTATACACAGGTGCACGCTATGTAAAGATTGGAAAACCCTGTATTATGTCTTTTTATAAAGAGACAAAATATGTGTATACATGTAGACACATATATTCCATTACATGCAAAAAAACTACATTAAAATGTTATTTAGATTGCAAAGTCAAACATTTTAAAGTTAGGGAATGCAAGAAGTACGGTGGCCTGTGCATCTAACTCAGTTCTGTTGTGTGTCCAAACTATGCATTTAACGAGTCAAAAGTCCTGTGGCAAAAATACTACGTGATCACGTAATTAAAGATCATAATGCACAGGCACAAGGGACAAATTATGGTTGCACAGGCAGCCATAAGCTGGCATTTTATAACTTTGAGTGTTGTACTTTACATCCTAAAAAGTCTTTTTTAATGTTTTTTTTTTTAATGCAATTGCCTGGGATTGTTTTTTCCAAGGAAAAGTGAATGAACAAGTTATTTTATATCTGATTGTAACAAACTCCCCTTCATGCATCAATGGGGTTTGATCCATGAGCCTTCAGCACTGCAGCAAAAGCTGCAACCATTTGAGCTTCAGGACTAACTACATTAGCCAGCAGCAGGAAAAGGTTGTTATCCCAGAGTGGGGAGATGGCTTCTGATACTATGTGCTGGGATCACAAGGTGGTTGAGGGGAGCCTGGTCTCTGACACACACACACACACACACACACACACTCTCTCTCTCTCTCTCTCTCTCTCTCTCTCTCTCTCTCTCTCTCTCTCTCTCTCTCT